GATCAGGAAGTGTACACAGCCACTGAAAGGGACTTTGAATTTGCAGCCAGGGAGCGAAGAGGATTCTGGGTGTTCCTAGCGCAGTGTCAGCTGGCAACGGAATTAACCCCTGCCTGGGAGTCCCAGGGCACTGGCTGTCCCACTCCGGGGACCCAGAACCAAGGTAAGCCAGCACATGGGTGCCATCTCAGCAGGCTCCCCTATACTCTCTCGGTTTAGGCCTCACCCAAACACCAGCTGGGGGACGCTGATAATTAACAGATGCCCACACCTCCCTTTGTTACAGATTAAAGCAATATGGAGTCATGGGGACACATCAACTGCCGGGTGACATTATTTCTTTCCTGAGGAGGATATGCAGATAGAGTGACTTAACAGGCCTGATGTTTTATGCACTTGAGATGGGCTGCCACTGTTCTCAGCCTTTTCCCCGTGTGAACTCTTACTTAGTTAACGTTACCGTTCATGTCCCCCCAGAGGAGGACACAGGCACAGGAATGGCTCTGTGCTCCACCCAAGTCACCCAGTTACCATGAGACAGTCCTGGGACTTCCACCCAACCCACCCCAGAGCCCACCTCCTCAGCCCTGCTCCAGGTTTCTCGCCTGTTTCCTTGCTCGGGACACATACTGGTCTTTCTTGGGTGAAAAATTCGGTGAGGCAGAGGGAAGGGAGCCCACTGGATTCTGGGCACAGAGCTCAGTGATATTCTGAGTTCGCCAGGAACGAGTACTGCCTCCACCCTTGAGTCACTGTGCCACCAGGGCCTGAGGCTCTGCCACAGTGGGCGAGAGCCAGCAGTCTGCAAGCAGGATGTGGAAGATGGTGTCTCCACCCAGCTATTTCTCAGCTGGGTGACTCTGGGTACGTCCCTTCACCTCTCAGGCTCCATTTCCTGCCAGGGATAAGAGCAGGAGGGTTCAGTGGGACGACAGGAGGCCTCAGAGGCAGCTGACAGGTGAGTCATACCTACTACTGCTATTTAAAAAGAGATTTTCTTTACAGGCAAGTCTGAAAGGTAATGAGCTTCAGGGAGGAGTCATCTGTGGCCTTGGGCTCCTACAGCGCATCCTTCAACCAACAGCGACTGGTCAATTTCTTAGCTGCAATCCAGGAGATGAAAGGCTACTTGGGTTAAGTTCCCCCTAAAACAGGTGTCCTCAAACTATGGCCCGCCGGCTGTTTTTGCCGCCACTGCCTGTCCTGCTTAGCAGCCGACTCGTCTCGGGGCCCTCAGTCAAGCCCTCCAACTGTCTGAGGGACTGTGAATTGGCCCCCTGTTTAAAAAGTTTGAGGACCCCTGCCCTAAAGTGTAGAGACAGCTGGGGGAGCTAGAGAGAAACTGCAGAATTCTGTTGAAAGGTCAGAAATCTTCACTCATTGACCAGATAAAGCCCCAGAAGCATTAAAAAGGTGCTCAGTTGTGGATCGTCTTAGAGCCCGAGAACACTCTGGCGTGCCTGCTGAGCTGACACAACTGTGGCACGATTGACCCAGCCAATCCTAGAATCTCGGCATCACCTCCTTCCCCCGTGTACCTCCAGGCTTCTTCCCCACACCTGCCGGCCTTGGCTGCCTGCGAAGCTGGAGATTCCCTTTTCTCTGGCTGAGAACCATTCCAGTTTCCAGGACCACCAATCAAAGCAGGAGCACGCAGTGCCCATGTAAAATGAGGAGCTGGTTTATTGAACAGTTTAAGAGAGAAAAAATAGTGGATTTTGCTATATTTTTACACACTGCATAGGAAAGGCCACAGCCGTCCATCACCCCCGACCCCAAACAGAACAGGCTTGCTGGAGGTCAGTGCCATGGTGGAGGCAGCATGCGTTGGGCTGGAACTGAGCCCGACTTAGGCCAGTGAGCAGCTGCCCATTTTCAAATGCACACTCCTCTCTGGGCTGAGCATGTCAACGCCCCCTTTTATTCTCTTTTAAATGAATGACCTATTTGTTCTCAGGCAGGAGTATATTACACTGGTGGCGTGTGACTCACGGCTGTCCCCGTGGTGCCTGGAGACACCGCACTCCCGTGAGAGAGCATCTGGCCTTGTCTGAAGTCTTGCTGCTGGCACACAGAGAGCTCGAGACCCTACCACAGGCATGACTCCACGGCCATTTCTGCTCTCACCAACACTCTCCAGTGTTCTGTTGCCAGTCACAATTACAGGTGTTGGGGAGCCCGGGTTCCCAGAAGGTCAGAAAAGCACAACCCACTTGTTTGCTGTGGCTGTCCTGACAGTAGCAGTTACGACGTACCTGGGAGACTTCCAGGGCGTAAATGGCAACGTCCCGTGAAGGCCTACCACCCCAGGGGGTAGGGCAGCGTGCCACCACTTCTACTTGTGCAGAAGAATACGTCCATCTCCAGCACAAGCTTGTAAAAAAATACTTTAACAGAATACACTGTACGGAACTAGGAGTTAACACCATATATTACAATGCTATAGCAAGTGTATAAATACTATACAGGCATGGAGTGACTCCATCAGAAAGGGCTGACTGTGAGGCCAGGAAAAACTGCTGCCAGCATGCCCAGAGGGAAACCACTTCCACAGTAGGAATGGGAAAACGGAGGACTGTGCCGTGTCTAAACGTGGTGCATCAGAGACATCGCTACAGTTCCTGGTGACTATGCCATGGCGGGACAACTCGGACGGAGCTGCACGAGGGGTCGGTCCAGAGGGAAAATACATTTTGGAACAACACTTTAGATCAGAACGTTAACACTCTGCAAACCAGCTGCACAGAGAGATGTCCCTTCTGTGGGCCTTGTCAGGCAGCCAGCACCCTGGGTGCAAGGGGCTGGACAAACGCCTCAGACTCCCTCCCCGACGGCTGTAAACCGTTGCTCCCTCTCTCCCATTCTCCTGGCAACCACCTCCACTCATGCACACGCCAGTCATCTGCCACCTCTGTGTCCTGTCGTGCTGAGTGGCTGATAGGCATTAGGTGCAAACAAGGCATGAGATGGACGTATCTGGAGACCCAGCTCCAGTTCCGGGGCCGGGCTGCAGGGTGAAGAGGAGGCAGACGGAGGTGGAGAGAGTGTGCGTCCCAGTCTACTTATGCGCTGTCCCCTGAACTCGGGACCTTTAATCGGGCATTTCAATGTTTAGTTTGGGAGGAGGCAGCACATACTTTCCAGGGCTCTGGGTAATGACCACCCTGGTCTTTTTTCGAAATATAGGAGCGATTTTAGGAGGTTCTGGAACTGGAGTTTCTTCGGTTTCTTCATTATCTTCATGATGGAGATCGTAGGAAATATTTCCGTATTCTCGCAAAAATGGGAAGACTTCTAGCAGAAACTGACAGAAATCTTTGCGAATACCAAACCACCCTGAAAAATAAGAATATTCTTTTTCAAAGATTGGCCCAAGTGACCTTCATGTTACCTTTCTTTCCCAAACAAGAAGTCCACTTTACCCGGATTGCTCAGAAACGAAGACTGAATGTGGCCTCAAAACCCAGTCAGGGACGAGACTACGGTGTCTAGCTCAGGAGTTCTCAAAGTAGAGCTCCCGGACCGGCAGCAGTAGCATCCCTAGGACTTGTCTGGGCTATGATTCTCAGGCCCCAGCCCCGACCTCCTGAACCGGATCGGAAACTGTGGGCTGGGCTGGGCTGGGCTGGGCTGGGCTCAGGCCGTCCACTGTTCCTGGCGCTTTAGGGATGCCGTTGGGGGCTCAAGTTGGAGAACCACTGCCCTAGAGAGTCTCTAATACCTGTCCTGCCTGCACCATTCTGTCCTCCTCTTATCTTCCCTGCCCAGGGTGCCCAAAGGATTGTTGTGACCCTGCGGAATCTGGGAGGGAAGCAGACACATGTTGGTGTGGGTCAGGGGCCACCCTGAAGCTACTTCCCCAATGCCTGCCACTCCTCCCTCTCTGCACCAGCACACCATCGGCTCTCCTGGCACAGGGCTGGGGCAGAGGCAGCAAGCATAGCCTGGGTGGCCGTCTAGGCACTGCGCCACCCCCCGCCTTCCAGGAGGGCAGCACTCTGGGGGTCCATAGGATGGAGCTCACAGCCTTGTGAGGAAGGGACCCTCCTCGGGATTTTCTGAAAACTGCAAGGGACCTCATCCAGGTGGGTAGGAAGAGAGAGCACACAAGTGCCCCGGACAACACTCTGATGTCAGCAAGGACATGCAGGAGAGACGGCAAAGAGGGACATAGGATGACCTCAGGGTTCAGGTGGAAGATGTGGACTTTTCATCTAATCCTCAGAAGCCCTGTGAGGACATATCTTGGTCCCCCTTCTGCAGAGGAGGGAAGGAGGCTGTGGGAGGCTGCTTGCCATGTGTGTTCTTGCCTCAAATCTCAGCACACATGTGGAGGAAAGCGGGGGTGCAGGCCAGGGGAAAGCAAGGGTGACAATATTCCCTTCCCTTGGAAGGCCCCAGAACTTCCTGAACCCTTGCTTTTCCACACCAACTTCTATCTTAGGGCCCGCAGTCTTATCCTTTTGTAGATCGAGGACACACCCCCCGTCCCAGGACTTCTGAAGTGCCAAGTACATACAGTGGTTTCCTCCCTTCTGTCCGAATGTGGTTGCCATCAGCGTGATGAGGGAGAGCCACAGCGGCACAAAGATGGGAATACAGGAGAATGCGTTGTGGCCGTCCAGTTTGTGAACCAGCAGGATCTAAAGACAGAGACACAGTCAAGGACTCTTGACACAACAAAGGACCGTGGAGGGCTGTGGAAGCTGCCCCCCATTGGCCAACCCTTGCCCGGTGAGCTCTCAGAAGAGGAGAGGTCAGCACCAAGGGTAGCGGCTACCGACCTGTGGTCCTTAGGGGCTCCAGGAGTTTGTTCAAAGGAGTTAACAGTGCCCGTTCTAGAATTCTCCACAGAACTCAAACATAAAAATCAGACCTCCAACTTGCCCTTTTAAGAGCAGGACCTGGAGACATTCAGAAGCATCAGAGCTAGAAAGGCACACTTCTTACTGCAGCCCCTGCCCGCCCCCCAGGGAAAGGAAAGGACATTCTCCTGGGACAGATGTCCTCTCCGGAGGCATGCTCTCCCGGATTGCACACTGCGATTTCAAGGGATAGCAGGCAGCATGTCTAGGTGGGCAGGATGCTGTTGGAGGGGAGGGGAGGGGAGGGGAGGGGAGGTGACAAGGCCGGAGCGGTTACCCACAGAAGGCTCACCTCAAAAGTCAGAAGAGGCACGACAATGGTCATCCAGCTCAGGGCCATTGTTATGTGTGTCCTCCGCTGCTCTGCAATGACGTCCATGGAGCGCAAGAACAGGACAGACCACACGATGTAGTAGAGGACCACCAGGCACAGGAAGGACATGAGAATCCACAGGGGCACACACACAACCTGAGGCAGGGCGGAGAGAAGACATGTCCTTAGCGCTCCCACCCAGCTTCCCGGAGAAGGCGTGCTCCACACCTTTCTGGGTCTCTCTAGGTGAGACAGCGCCAGCCTCCATGAGGACAGCCCCCTCCTAGGCCTGCTGTGATGACGGTGTGTGAAAGAGAAGGGATGGGGCTCTCTGCGGGCGGGCGGGCGGGCGGGCGTGCTGCTGGGGAAACCAAGGTTCCTCTGTCAGTCAGCGCCTCTTCCTCCTGGGACAGCCTTGCATCAGCAGAGGCCTCTGCTCCTCCTTGAAGTCCTCCTCCCTTCCCTTCCTCCCTCCCTCCTACACTCACTGGGGCTCTGCCTGGCTCCGCTGGCATCACAGCCCACCATACTCTCTTCTCAGGGGACATTTCCACAACCTGCTGTAGGTGCTTTGGCGACACATTTGGGAATGGGTTCCCCGGGAACTTTAGCCGTCTCGGTGTCTTGGGACCCCCACCATGTTGTGACCTTGGCAGACTGAGGCTGGGCAGGCATGTTGTCCTGACCCGCCCCACCCCACATGCATTCAAGTATGTTGCTGTCCTACCAGAAAGACTTTGTCTCACCTGCTCGCAAGCCCAGAGGATAAGCCCTGGCGCTGTTACCCAGCCAGGCTCCTTTGTGTCATCTTTCTCTTTCCTGTCCTGCTCCCCAAGACTTCTCGTTTCTCCTGTTTTCTTTGACTAACTAGCACACAGTAAAAGTGACTGTGTTCCTTGGTGTACACTTCTAAGAGTTGTAATCCACACGTAGATCCACACAGCCACAGGCAGGACACAGAAGAGATCTCCCACCCCATAAAATCCCTTGCGTTAGGCCAGGTGCAGTGGCTCATGTAGCACTGTGGGAGGCCAAGGGGGGGACTGACTGAGCTCATGGTCTCAAGACCAGCCTGAGCAAGACCGAAACCTTGTCTCTAAAAATAGGGAGGTGTTGTGATGGGCACCTGTAGTCCCATCTACTCGGGAGGCTGAGGCAAGAGAATTGCTTCTGCCCAGGAGTTTGAGGTTGTTGTGAGCTATGATGCCACAGCACTGTACCACGGGCAATAAAGTGAGACTCTGTCTCAAAAGAAATAAAAAGTAAAAATAAATAAAATCCCTTGTGCTACCCTTCATGGTCACACTGTCACCCCCACAGTAATCCCCTGACAACCCCTGATCTGTGCTGTCACTATACTTTTGTCCTTGGGAGCACACTGCATAGATGGAATCACAGCATGTTGTAACCTTTTGAGACTGGCTGCTGGCAATCAGGATATGTCTCCCCAGATTCAACCAGGTTTCTCCCTGTGTCCACAGGTTGTTCCCTTTCATTTCTGAGTGGCATTCCATGGATGACTAGGGTTTGTGGCCCCATCCGTCCACTGAAGGTGGCTTCCAGCTTTTGGCTATCCTCAGTGAGGTTGCTCAAAACACTGGAATGTAGGTTCCTAAGCAACTGGCTGTTTTCCCTTCTCTGGGGTAAATGCTCAGGAGAGTGGCTTCTGGGTCACATGGTAAGTACACCTTAAATTGTATCAGAAATGGCCAACCTGTTTTGCAGAGTACCAGTGCCATTCTACCTTCCTGCCAGGAAGGGAGGAGCATCCCACTTCCCCTTCCCATGTCTCCCCATATACCTGGCTAAGTCATGGTCTTTGAGTTCCACTCTTGATAAATATGTCGGGACCCCATCCCGGTTTTATTTTGCCTGTCCCTAATGAATAATGATGTTGACAATCTTCTTGTGTTCATTTGCCATGTGTGTATCTTTTTTCTGAATTGTCTGTTAAGCTTGCCAATTTTTAAATTATGTAATTATTTTCTTATTTTTGAGTTTTTAAGAGTCCTTTGTGTGTTTTGGGTCCTAGTAAATATTTCAATATATGCTTTGCAAATATTTTGTGTCATTCTGTGGCCTGTCTTTGGTTCATTTCAATTTTAAGCTGTCCAAATTGATTTATTCATTAGTTTTATTGTAGGACTGGGGCAAAGAAAATACAAGATGAACTTAACATTTTTTGGTGCTAGAAAATAATGAAATGCTTAAGGAATAATGAAGACTATGTACAGAACACAGGAGCTCCTAAAGGCAGAAAGTACTCCCTAAAGCTCAGAAATTTGAGCAAAAATATAAATAGTGACAGCATCAAATTATAACCAATAGAATAAAATGATAATTTTGAGTTTTCTGATCTGTGAACATGTTGGTATGTCTCTGTATGAGGTCTTTAATTTTTCTCAGTCGTATTTTGTCATTTTTAGTGTAGAGGTCTTTTGTATTTTCTTTTTTAAAAAATGAGATAAGCAAAACAGTTAATTAATTGAATCTTTTACTTTTGACCTAGAACTTTGCTGTTGTATAGACATAGCTTTAATTATAACCTACAAGTCACCAATTTCAGTGACTTCAATTTCACTGATGTTCTCCTCACATGCAAAATACATATATTTCATCCCAATAGTCCCAAAAGTCTCCTCTTATTCCAGTATGAACTCAAAATGTGAGTGAGACTGAAGGCATAATTCCTTTTTTCATTTTTTTGAGACAGAGTCTCACTCTGTTACCCAGAGTAGAGTGCCCTGGAATCATCACAGCTCACAGCAACCTCAAACTCTTGGGCTCAAGCTATCCTCTTACCTCAGCCTCCTAAGTATTTGGAACTAAAGGCATGCACTGCATTGCCTGGCTAGTTTTTCTTTTTTTTTAGTAGAGATGGGGTCTTTCTCTTGATCAGGGTAGACTCGAAATCCTGAGTTCAAGCAATCCACCCTTCGGCCTCCCAGAGTGCTAGGATTATAGGCATGAGCCACCAAGCCTATCCAAGGCATAATTCACTCTGAGGAAAATTTCCCTCTGTCTGTGAGCCCATGAAATCAAACTGGTTATCTACTTCTAAAACACAATGATGGGAGGGACACAAAATAGATATTCACATTCTAAAAGGAAGAAATACGTAAGCAAAGCGGGGGTTACTGTTCCCAGGTAATTCTAAAATCCAACAGGGACAACATTAAAGCTCCAGAATAATCTTCCTTGACTCCATGTCCTACTTTCTGGATAAACTGGAGTAGGATTTGAGCCCCCAAGGCCTTGGGCCTAGCCCCACCCCTACAGCTTTGCTAGGCTCATTCCATCCAGTAGCTTGAGTCTCATGGCTGCAGTTCTCCCAGGTTGGAGTTACACACTATAGCTCTACAGTTTGGGGGTCTCTGAGGCAGCCCTATTCCCATAGCTCCACTAGGTATTACACTAGTACTATGTGATACTCTGATGTCCCAGGGAAGAAGAATGTCCCAGATCCAGGGGAGAGAGAAAAAGCAAATCTTTTCTTCTACCTTTTTGTTCTATCTAGGCTCCCAGCTGTTTGGATGGTCCCGCCCACATTGAGGACACATCTTCCTCACTCAGTCCACCAATTTACATGCCAGTCTCCTCTGGAAACACTCACACAGAGACATCCAGAACTGGTGCTTTACCAGTTATCTAGGCATTTATCAATCCGGTCAAGTTGACACCTTAAATTAACCATCACATTCACTTTCTTTATATTTGTTGGAAGCACAGAGACAAAAACCGCAGGCACCTTGAATGCAAATCAATTTACTAGATTACTTAATATATTGCATCTTATTTTACAAAAAGGATGGTAAGCAACTGTAAGCTTACAAGTAACTGAAGTCAGATTTTATAAACCAAGAAGGACAACCCTAATGTCCTTTAACTGAGTATTTCCTGGCCCATAGTCCTGAAGGGAAAGAAAGAGGACCTCAATTTCTCTTTGGTATATGAGAGCAAACATACAGCATCAGGTTTCATGAAGCACCCTATCAAAACTTGATAGAAGTATAAGATAACATTCCCACCACTGTTCTGGGATAAGCTCTACCCTTACCTGCCAGAACCCTCCAGAATCCTATGATTGGCATAGCTGCATTTCCCTGGCCAGACCTTGCCTGGATGGGGCTCTAAACAGAGGCAGTACCAACAGCACCTGTAACTTAGTGGGTAGGGCACCGGCCACATACACCAAGGCCAGTGGGTTCAAACCCAGCCGGGCCAACTAAAACAACAATGACAATTGCAACAACAACAACAACAGAAAAAAATTGCTGGGCATTATGGTAGCTGCCTGTAATCCCAGCTACTTGGGAGGCTGAGGCAAGAGTATCACTTAAGCCCAAGAGTATAAGGTTGCTGTGAGCTGTGCTGCCATGGCACTCTACCTAGGGTGACAGCTTGAGACTCTGTCTTAAAAACAAAACAAAACAAAAAACAGAGACAGTACCATTACACAGGGTCAACTGGCTGTCTGTATCATCTCCTATGCTACCTAGGTGCCTGCTCAGTTGCCCAATTATAGGCCCCATTGCTGTGGGAGTTCCTTGAAGATTTTGTCTGTTTCTACCATGGGAGGTCAAGGAAGAATCAAGTTTATCATTCACTCAATTCTTCATTCAATTAAGTTCATATTTCCTGATATTTTCTGCACACAGGCCCTATGCTGGGTGCTCCAGATACAAAAACAAATAGTATGTGTCTACACCTGAGGAAGTCAAAGTCTGAGAGGGGGGAAACAGACACACAAATAGATAGAAAACATTTAGTTACATACAATGAGATGGAAACAACTATGGTCCACTAAGAAGGGACATCTAATTCAGCTCAGGGGAAGTGTGCCCATAGTCAAAGTGAAAATTGCATCACCTGCACCCATGCAATAATACGAGGGGTGTCCGAGGCACAGTGGATATGTATTCACATAACATGGACAGCTCTATTGTTCCAAGCATGTGACCTTTACCACGATGTTTGGTTCAGTCACATTTTTTATTGTCTGTAATGTAAATACATTTTTGGATGGGTCACTCCTGTTGATAAATTCACTTTATTTCTTAGTTATAGCCCTTTAAATCATGTGTATGGATGATAGAAGAATTTTCTCCATCAGAAGTATGCATCCTTTGGTATTACTTGCCCCTAAAATC